GGGGGGGGGGGGGGGGGGGCGGGGACGGGTGTACCTACCACTGGGCCCTGGACTGTGTGGCCTTGCATCCCCGGTGACCCCTGCTGACCTCCAGGGCCTTCAGGTCCCTTCTGTCCAGGTGGCCCGGGCTCCCCCTAGAGACGTAGGTGGGGCAGGGCTGGGAAGGCATGCAAACTCCCACAGCCCCCACAGCCCCCAGCCATGGCCCAGCCACCTGTGAGCTCTGGGTACCAGCATTTTCGTGTTTTAGGATTTGGGCATGTGGAGTGTACATTCTCCAGAGAGAGACAGAGAGGGAAAGTGAGAAATCACTCCCAGGGGGATGGCCGTGCCAGAACCCCTCCTCCTCCACTCTCCTGGGATTTCGGTCATGCTCACATTCCTGGTGTGAGTTTTAAAGCCACCGGTTCTGGGACTTGAACCGCGGTGGGTCATGTGACAGTCTGGCGCCTTAACCGCCTTACCACCTGCTGGCCTCAGACCTGGAATAATTCAAAAAGCGTGGTCCTTGGGGTGAACAGAGGCCTGCACCGCACAGGCAGCTGGGTATCTGAGGCTGGCGGCTGGCGGAGCTCGGCCACAGCAGACTGAGCGAACCCACAGTTCGGGCCCAAGGCATCAGGTGTGGGGAGAGCAGGCGTCTCCACTCCCAGACTAGGGAGACTGCGTACTGAACCCAGAAGCCTCAGGAGACAGAACAGTGTCGCCACGCGGGTGTGAGCGCCAAGGTCAGAATGGGCACGCAGGGCGCAAGCAAGGCCAGGCAGCGGTGGCGCGACACCTCCCGGCACAGACGCGGGCGGCTCCACGGCGTACCTGCGCCCACAAAGTAATAGGGGAAAGTAGGGAGCAGAGCGGAGAAGGGGCGGGTCCTCGCGCCTTCCCAAGGACGTGCACGCTGCTCCCGCAGAAGCCCAGATAAAACGGCCTGGCGCGTCCAGCAGCTGGCCTGCCTCGGCCTACGGGTGTGGGGCCCTTGGACCCCCAGCATGGCTGTCCACCCTCCGCCCAGCAGCTGCAGTGAGAGTTTGTCCGGGTCGCCAGTGTCGCGGCGTGTCTGCGATGGCGGCCGGACACCCTCACATCACGGCTATCCGTGCACAACGCGTCCTCGGCTGGAGACCGTGCCTGGCAGGTGTGCCAGCACCGTGCGCACTGGCTCGCGGCCATCCCCGAGGGGCAGTGTGCCACCACGACACTGCTGCCAGGACTCTCTGGAAGACAGCCTGGAAGGGGGGGCTGCACCACAGCTCACCGCCCCCCTCCCAGCCCAGCCGTGAGTGGCCTGTCTGCGGCTCGCACCCTGCATTCTCCTGGGGTGCAGAGGAGACCCCAGCGACCTCCCGGACCTCGGGACTTACCCTGGGCCCTGGGAAACCCTGCTCTCCACGAGTGCCGCTCCTGCCAGGGAGGCCCTGCAGAGGCACGAGGGCTGAGCGACCCCAGCACCACAACCAACCCGCCCACCCTCACTGGCATGGAGGGGCTTTGAGCAAGACCCTCTGGCAGCCCTCCCGTCCCCGCTGGCACAGGTAGCCTCGCTGGCACCCCCTGGTGGGCCAGGCCGGGAGAGCTGCCTCCCTGAGGCCCTGCACCTACTGCAGGTGAGCTGAGCCGTACAGCCCGGGTACTTGCGGAGGACAAAGGCCTCATGTGGCCACGACTCACAGCTGGCCTGGGCCCCACCCCTGCCTGGCAGCGGCACCTGAGAGGCTCAGGGAGGCTCAGGGCCAGGCTCAGGTGAGGGGCTGTGCTGACAGAGGCCCCGGTTCCCCAGGGGCGAGGCTGTGGCACTCACCGGAGGTCCCTGGGGACCCGGGGGCCCGGGGGTCTCAGAAGAGCAGGTGCAGGCAGTAGGCAAGGCTGGGCACGTCTCCCCACCCCTCTGGAAGAGAAGAGGTCCTACTCCCTCAAGGAGCCTCTCATAGCTCTTGTCTAGCTCGGGAGCCCTGGGTTCTAGGGCAGCCTCCACACCCACCCAGGCTCAGGGCCTCAGGGCACAGCAGGTCCAGGGCACCCCATCCGGCCTACCCTGGGCCTCTAGGCTTCTATCAGCCAGCCAGCCCAGCTCATTCTCTGGCCCTCGAGGCTGCCTCTTCCAGGAGGCCTGCCCTGATCTCTCACAGCAGAGCAGTGAGGCAGTGGGCCTTTCACTGCCCGACTCAGTGGGCACTCCTCACTCTTCCTCAGTGGGGCCGGGTGTCCACCGCCGCCTACACCTACCAATGCTGGGAGCTCACAGCAGTGGTCCTGGTCGGCCCAGGAGTCGCCGCACAAGATCTGCAGCATCTGCAGCTGAAGCTACAGGGCAGGCAGGTCAGCGGGCGGGCCCCCCAGTAGGGCGAGGGCAGGCAGGTCAGCGGGCGGGCCCCCGAGTAGGGCGAGGGCAGGCAGGTCAGAGGGCTGGGCCACCAGCCGAGCGAGGACGAAGGTGGGAGTGGGGGTGGGGTGGGGGCTAGGGAGGGGCAGGCATGCTCACTGTGGCTGAGCTGCTCCAGGGGCCCCGGGCCTTGGCCAGCCTCCCCAGAATAACGAAGCCAGCGGTGGGTGGGCTGCCCGCCTCCCCGATGGGCTGCTCCGCCACCTTCCGGCAGTCCACATAGAGCCTGACCTGGGAGCGGCCCACGGCCACGTGTACCTGTGGGGACACTACAGCATCAGCACTGTCCAAGCTCACAGGACCTCACAGGCCAGACATGCTGCGTCCTGATGGGACCAGCTGGGCAGAGCCTGCAGGGAGGGCTGGACCTTGTGGAAGCTCCCGAAGAAGATCTTCTTCACGTCCTGTAGGTCGAACGTGACCTCCTGCAAGGCAGCGCCAAGGTCGCGGTTGAAGTAGGTCAGGGACTTCCTGCCAGCTGCCGGATGGGAAGGCAGAGTGAAGTCGGGGCGAAGGACACAGCCAGGACTCTGGCAGGGGGCGCCTGCTTTCTGGGGGAGCCCCACCCGCCAGCCCTCGCAACAGCCCAGAGCAGCAAGGGCCCCGCATCACCGTCCAGCAGAACCCCGAAGACAGGCTGGAAGTCTTTGGCCGTCATCTGCCACAGTGCGAAGGCCTCGTGGGGCGTCTCGGGGAGCAGGCGTACGAGGAAGACAATGGTGTGCTCAGGTGGGAGGACGGCCGGGTGGACGTCACTGTGAAGGGGGTGCTGTGAGCCAGCTGCTCTGGCCTGCATGCCCCTCCCAGCTGCAGGGCAACATCGAGACTGTCAGTTCCCCAGAGCCCAGTGGGACAGAATCAGGGTCTACAGGCCGAGCAGGGCCTCCTCTGACTTGGTTGTCCACAAGTGACACAGGACAGGCTGTCTTAGAGGCACGTGGCTGTACACACAGCCTTTCCTGCCCTCCCCGGAGGCCCAGACAGGACCCCACCGCAGCAGGTCAGCCCAACACATGCCTAAGACAACCCAGCATGGCCTCACGCCTCCCCTCCCCTGGGCCTTGGGGGTGGGGCCAGGGGTCACAGTTCTACCCTCAGGAGCCGCTCCTCACAACCCCACTCTCCTGTGTGTGCCAGGAGAGCAGGGCCAGATGGAGCCCGGCAGGTCCCCGAGGGGCGGGGCAGGCCCTGGAGCACCCAGTCACACACTGAGTTCTGGCTGGCGGCCCACAGTCCCTCCGTTTGGCCTTCACTTGCTCTTAGGGTACAAATCCAGACCCAAAAGCCCAGCCCAGCCACATCCTGCAGTTCCTGAACACTGACCAGGGCCTAGGCACCCACATCCCAACTGCCTAGGGGTTCTGCCTCATCTGCCGCCTCCTCCAGGTGCCCTCTTGGCCATCCCAGAAAAGGGCCTTTCCTGGCAAGAACCATGGTGGTGACCACACCTGCGCAGGTGACCCGCCTGAGCCAAGCGACATCTGTGTCCCCACCTGCAGGGGCATCTCCCCACTTCTCAGCAAGGAGCGCCCCACTGTGAGGGCTCAGGGACAGCAGCTGCAGCCTGAGCTTGGGCTGCTTGTCTGGAACAGGAACGGGAGCTGGGAGCTGGCAGGGGCCTCCAGCTGCCCTGGGGCTCCAGGCAGAGTGCCCCCTCCCCGGAGTGGAACCCGCTTGCCCAGCAGACGCTGGCACAGAAACCGGACTTGCGACCCTCAGCCGGGACTGGCAAGCTCAGTGGGAGACCGGGTGGCCTGGGGATGGCGACTGTCATTTGGTTTGGCCATGAGGCTGTCCAGTGTGACGAGGGGAGCCATGCCCAGCAGAGCCTACCCCACCCCACAAGCCAGGGGAGGGGGCCATGGGGAGCTGGCTGGCCAGGCAGTGCCGTGGTCTCTATGTGGTCCGCACTCCGCACTCACCCGTGGCTCTGCATGGGCCAACTGGTGTGGGCGGAAAATGTTCCGGAAAGACATGAAGACCACAACTTGCAGACCGGTGCAGCACAGGACTGGTTGCCTGGGACACACTCCAGAGAGCGCTGGGCCTCAGCCCCACAGGGCTGGCAGCCAGCAGGGCTCTAGGACCACCCCTCAGATACGGAGGGGCCCACAGGTATGTCCCAAGATCCCAGTGGGCTACGGTGGGTGGACGGGAGTGTGAGGGTCCTGCTGGGGGTATTGAGTCTTTCTCAGGGGAAAAAATTAATAACTTTAAAGACGTTTTTCTCTTTTTTATGGAGAGGTTTTTGGTATAGGGCACATGCGCTCACCAGAAAGAGAAAGAGATAGAGAGACAGAAAGTGAGAAATCACCCCCCAGGGGGGATGGCCACGCCGCAATCCCTTCTCCTCCATTCTCCTCTCGGGATCTTGGGCACACATGCACATGCGACTGCGGTCACCTATGTGGAGTCCAGCGATGTAGCCATTACACCATCTGCTGGTCCCATAAAGATGTTTTTCTATGATAGGGTATGAGTCACTTTTTGTTGTTAATCTTTGCGGGACAAGCGGATGGTGTAACGGTTATGTTGCTGGACTCCCATGTAGTCGACCTCTGGTGAGGGCTTGCGCCTTATAGCAAAAATTTCTCAAAAAATATTTTTGTTTTTTCAAGTAGAACACGTGTGCTCATCAGAGCCAGAGAGAGAAGGAGGGAAGAGAAAGCGCCCGGGGTGGCCACGCTGCAATGCCTTCTCTGCCTTGCCACCTCCCAGGGTTGGGAACGTGTGAACATAAGCCTGGTGTGTTTTTCGGGCCGCTGGGTGCAGGACTTGAACCATGCAGTTGGCTATGTGGGATCCGGCCACTTTAAGCTCTGCGCCATCCTCTGGCCCTGACTTACTTTTCTAATTTAAAACTCTTTTTATTTAACTGGGGACAATCCCACTGTGCACAGCCCAGCCCAGGGTATGGTTGACGGCCTCGCTGGGCGTGGCTCCTTGAGGCCCACCCCCTGCTCTCCAGACTCACACCTCACAGATCTGGGCACTGGCAGACTCGCCAAGTCAGGCTGGAAGAGCAGACGGAGCACGAGCCCTCCAGCGGCGTAAGCTGGCGGCGCCCCGTCTACAGGTTCGGCCCGTCCTTAACGAGAGGCCACGGCTGCTCTCGCGCTGCCCACGCGGGGTTCCTGAGCACGTGTTGGGCGCGGCACAGTCTGCACTGCCAACCTGATGCTCAGGGGCCTGGTCAGCTCTGGGAGCCCCCGCACCTGGGCACAGCCCTCCCCACCCCACCCCCGGTTCAGGAGGACGGGCGGGATGCAGTGTCTGGCCGGCGTCCTCCCGCTGCCCGGGCACAGGTCCCTCGCACCTGGCACTGCGAGTCAGCTGGGCGTCCTTGAAGAGCGTGAAGGTCTGGAGGCTGCCTGTGGCCGAGCGCTCCATGGCCATGCCGCGAATGGAGGCGTACTCCTTCTCCACCAGGCCGAAGGCCACCATCAGGTCGAACCCTGGGATGTGCAGTGGGCCGGGGAGATCAGGGACAGTCAGAGCCGGGAGTGGGCGGGGAGGGGCCGAAATTCAGGCCACGGGGTGTGCGGAGCACCAGCTGGGGTAGCAGAGGGGGCTGGGCTTGCGGCCACGGAGCCAGGAGGAGACCCAGGAGGGTGGCGGGGACTGCTGGGTGGGACCTGGCATGAGCGCCTCGCTGCCATGCCTACCTGGCATCTCCTTTCCTGGCACCAGTGCCGACTTTGCCAGGTGCCCGGCTTAGGGGACCCAGAGGCAAGGGCTGGACTGGCAGCGCACACCATGGGGCCCCTGGCCAGCACTGCAGCCTCGCGTGACCAAGGGCCCCGGGGGGTCTGACCCTGCCCGGCCCCACCGACTGCCGCGCGTGCCCA